GCAGCTCCCGCCTGACGACGATATGTCAACAATCCAAAGTCGCTGACCCCGTGGACCTCGGACCCGAACAGCTCAGACGCGAGGGCTCCCGAGGCGAACACATTGCGGGCAACGCGGCCCCCCCACAGTAGACCGCAAACGGACCAACCTGGAAGCAAACCCCGATTTTTTGGCCTCACGGTTTTTGTGTTTGGCACTCCTTCCTTTGACGCGACGGGGTCGCCCAGCACAGTCGTCCACCTCGAGATCCGGCGCAGACGAGACAAGCGGGCCAGCCAGCCCTCCAAGCTTGACAGCCAGTTCTCAGACAAACAGATGAGCGATCTCTTCCACTCATCCTGACTAACTTTGGTTCCCACCCCGTCCTCCAAGACCGAGTACAACTGACGCGCGACAGGCGGCAAGCTGGACACGATGTATTCCTTAGTCCCCGTGGCGCTGACTACATAGTCGTCACTGTACAGTTTAAAGTGGAGTCCTATGCATTATTGCCCATGGAATGGAGGTCCAAGGGGTCGCGCCATCGGAAATTCTGTATGTTCGTCGGGCTGCAGCGCGGGCTGCAAGTATAAGTCAGCGGGGGTGTTCCATGGAGCCCCAGTGGGCCATTCACAAGTATCGCGGGGACCCTTTCTACCTGGTTGCAGAGCCGTTCAAGCGCCGCGCGTGGGAGTGGCGGCATGCATGCGAAATGTCGTCGTGAGGGAGGCCTCGGCATCAAGATGTGCTGAGCCCTGGTGACCTGAGCAAGTGTTTCCATGCTGCTGAGTGCCAGCTGGCCCTGGCCCCGCAGGAGCCGTGCTTGTTTCGGACCCGCGGGCCGATCTCGGCCATGCTCCTTCGGCTGGAAGCTGGTGAATGGCCGTGAGAAGGGCCCGCTGCTCTTGTTTCAAGGAGTTGATTTAAGCGGATCATCGCTGAGCTTCCCCCAACTGAGATTTTCGATGCCTTTGTAATGGACCTTTGCCAGACCCTGCTCGTGAAAGCTATCGCTTCTAACCTAACCAACGCAAGCTTGGAGAGAGGTATGCGGCTACCCTTCGTTCAGCGCGTAGCAAAAGGCTTCTCTCCTGCGCAGTTGCACGTTTACTGCCAAATGATGTCGGGCACGGTCCCGACTGGCATGGCCCCATCGAGATGGGGCCGCGAAGTTGACGCCAAGTGCTCTCAGTGTCTTGCACGCGAGGACAAGCTGCGGCATCGATCTTGGGAGTGCGCCCGCCCTGATGTTGCGTAAGAGCGGTCTGAGTCTTTCGTCGTTGCAACCTTGGGCCAGATCCGCGGCGCCGCCCAGGAGCATTTGCTGCTTTCGCGTCTGCGGGCCCCTTCCCCCGAGTTCCCCCGGGCTGGCAGCTGGTGGTTTTTGGGGGCGATGGGCAGCTGAGACCGCGCCCGAGTCTCAGTTTGATCAGCGTGATGACCTTGACGCGGATGGTTCGTGCATGAATGGTGAAAAAGAAAAGATCTCACGTGCTGGAATCTCTGTGGTGCACTTGTAGGGAGAAATGCTCGTTCGAGAAATATTTAGCCCGCTCCCAGTGGAATTCCGCCAGGCGGCCAGTGGTGCTGAACGTGGAGCGCTGGCTGTCGGCATCTTGCGCAGGAAGGATTTAGCTCCGGACACTGTCCCCGAGCCTGCCTCTGTGGATTGCGCTGCGCTTCTCCTCGGGACCAGGGGTCCTGCCAGAGCCCTGGAGGGCTCATTTAGGCTGTCCTTTTTCTGGCGCGAGATGTCCAGGAAAATTCGCGATTGGCCGTGGGTTGCCTTGGAACAGATCAAGGCCCGCAGGGCCTACAGTGAAGCTGTTGACGACGAAGACCGAATTCGTATTCCAGGCTCTTACTGTGCAGACATATGGGTTAAGGCTGCTGCCTAGAGTTCTCATTTTATACCCCGGGAGCTGTTGAAAAGGCGGAAGCTGAATATTCCAGTCTGGCAGCAGGGGTCACTTCGATTTTGCAGCTGTGGTCTGAGTTCAAGGCTCAATTCAAGCAAGCTTCAAGGCCTGAGAAGGCCAAGGCGCGGCCTCGGTTCAAGAGTCAGCATGTGCTGGTGCCGCGCGGCGATCAGTACCGTGCTGACACACCAGACACTGTCAGACCAAACGCTGTCACAGCCTGTGCAGAGCTAAACCCGACGATGATCGCGCTCCTGCGTGGCCAATGTGGGGATCAGCACGTGCTGCACTGTGTTAGGGTGGTGTGGATTGATGTGCCCGTCATTTTCTGTGTGAGGTGCGGCGGTGTTGCTGCTTGCAAAGCTTCTGCCCGCCTCGTGCATGTCTGTGAACCCCTTCGGAAGAGCTCAGAACGATCCAAGCTCTTCTAGTGGTTTGTACTGGGGACAAAGTTTCGGCTTGGGCCCACATTTCCTCTCTCTTCCCTCCTCTTTTTTCCCCTTCCTCCCCCGCCTCTGCCTCCCGCCTCTGGCCAGCCGTCCTCGTCCTGGGAGTCCAGAGTTTGTAGTCCGCACTCGTCGTTCAGTGGATGACAGAGTGTCCGCCAGGTCTGAGAAGTCTGAGTGTGGGAGGAGGATCAGGAGGAGGAGGAGGAGGAGGAGGAGGAGGAGGAGGACGAGGAGCAGGAGGAGGAGGAGGAGGAGGAGGCTGAGGGGGAGGAGGAAGAGGAGTTGGAATTTCGCCCACACTTCTCGCTAAAAGACGCAGTGGCCCTCGCATTTGACCCCGTCCACTCGCAGGCGAACCGCCCGGCGGATAAGGCGGCGGAGGAGGGGGCAACGCTTGCTCAGATCCCCTTCCATGCCAGGCGTCAGGTTGCAGAGGCCTATCACTTGTGCGGCACAGGTTTCGATTCCGTTCTGGCGGTATCGATGGCCGTAGCCCAACAATCCCCGACCTTGTGTATGGAGCCGCGTCCAAAGGTGACCTTCCGGAACCGGCCAACGTGTCCCTTGCCTTTTCGCGCCAGGAAGATGGAGTTCGTTTGGTAAGGCCCGAGGTTTTTGGCGCTGCGCTGTTTGTCTTCAGTCCGACGGAGGTGAGAGAGCGACTCCCGTCCGATCGGCCGGCCCACCCCGCCCTGCCACGATCCATCCGTCCTATAATCTGGAAGCTTATTGGGGCTTCTACTGGTGCCAGCTCTGCGGAGGCTTAGGTGTTCCCTCGAGAGGCAAGCTGCTGAAGTTTGGGGTAACGGGTGTACCTGGCTTCACTGATCATGGGCGGAGGGTGGGGTCGGCTTCCATGGCACGTAAGCTTCCTCCTGATCTTAGGGTTTGGCCTGGATGATCAGAATACGAGGTCCACCTCCTGTCGCGGCCTCAGGTTCCAGATGGCGCCCGTGGTTCCCGAGGTGACAGAAACTGATGGAGGTGGCCCAGTTTCTCATTTTCCAGTAGGGTACCTCAATGGACTCATCCCCCAAGGCAGGAAAGAGGCAAGAGGAGGAGGAGGAGATGGAGGAAGAGGAGGAAAAGGAGGAGGAGGCAGAGGAGGAGGAGGAGGAGGAGGAGGAGGAGGAGGAGGAGGAGTGGGGGGGGGGGAATGGAGAGCGGTGGGAGGTACTCTGGAGGCCCTCTTGGGGCGCGTCTGGGACTCCTCGTGAAAGCCTCTGGGGTCCTGACGGGGCTATCTTGATTGTCGGTCGGGAGCTTCGGGGGCTCTCTTGGGGTCTTCATGGAGCCGTCTGGTGCTGTCTGGGGGAGCCATTCGAGCAGCATTCCGACGTATTCTGGTGGCTTTTCGGACCCTCTGCGGGGCCTTTTGGTGGCCCTTTTCCTCCTCCTCCTCCTCCTCCTCCTCCTCCTCCTCCTTCCGCATCCTCTTCCTCATCCTCTCCCTCCTCCTCCTCCTCCTCCTCTTCCTCCTCCTTCTCCTCTTCCTTCTTCTCTCCTCCTCGTCGTCCTCGTCCTCCTCCTCCTCTCTCCTCCTCCTCCGTCTCCACCTCCTCCTTCTCCTCCTCCTGTGTCCTCCTCCTCCTCTTCCTCCTCCTCTGTCCTCCTGCTGTTTTCCTCCTTCTCCTCCTGCTCCTGTTCCTCCTCCTCCTCCTCCTCCGCCTCCTCCTCCTTCTCCTCTCGTTCCCCCTCCTCTTCTTCATCCTTTTCCTTCTTTTCCGCCTCATCCTCATCCTCCTGCTCCTGTTCCTCCTCCTCCTCCTCCTTCTCCTCCTCCTCCTCCTTCTCCTCCTCCTCCTCCTCCTCCTCCTCCTCCTCCTTCTCCTCCCTCCTCTGACTTCCCCCATCGTTCTCTTCCTTCCTCTTCCTGCCCCTGCCCCGCGACGAATCGCGTGGCAGCTGTGTTGCAGGCTTTAGCGGCTTCCTGAGCACTGTGTACGAAGGCGGCGGGACTGCGCCGCTGTCGATCCGCGGGACAGCGAGCGGGCCGCCCGTGCTCTTCTCCTGCGCGACAGGCGCTGTTGCCCATCGTCGCACGTGCGTCGCGCAAAAGGACCCCAGAGGGCGCGACGCAGGAAGGAACACTTACACTGGTCTCGGCAGTCCGTAAACTTCCCTCGGCAGTTTGAGTTCGCACGTGGCGCCAGGGTGCTGATATCGGCGTGCGCGGTCAGTTCGGAGGCAGAGCTGCATCGCCGAACTGGTGTGGATGCCATCCCGTCGGCTTTCCTTCCCCCTCCTCCTTCTCCTCCTCCTCCTCCTCTTTCGCCTCCTCCTCCTCTTATCCCTCGGGTGAGTTTGCGTCTGTCCCAGCTGCCAACGGCTACCGAGGGCGACCCTCTTTCTCGTTTGTGCCACGCCTCCCCAGCCGTATCAAGAGGTCTTCGGACCTTGCCGTTGGTGTGTGTGTGTGTGTGGCAGCATCCCGATGTTGACGCCAGCTGTCGAAACATGTTTTCCGCTCTTACCTTCTCCCTGCAAACGAGTTTGTTCGCGCGTTTCCGTGACCCTGGGTAGTCGTACGGTTCGTCGTTCGTCCTCGTTCCGATTCTCTTGTGGGACGTGTGAATTCGAAGTTTCCTTCTTCGGGGCCTCGACGCGTCCAGACTCTTCCATTCGCTTACCCTAGGGCGGCGCGTGTCCATCAGCCCATCTGGCTCATGAGATTTGTTCGCGAGCCCCAGTTCGATCAGTCGTGGCCGAGCGTGTGTGGCAGAGTTTTGGGTGGCGCGGCCAGATCCTGACTGGGGGCCCAATCGCGGACGTGAGCGCAGAGGGCGCGGTGACTCCGCATGCCCGTGAGACCATCGATGTTGCCACCAGATGCTCTCAGCGCAGAGGTTGCAGACGTGACCTCCGAGTTCGAGTCGAAGCCATGGACCTGCACCGCAGCGGCTGCAGGAGGGACCTCCGAGCTCGGCAGCACAGAAGCTACAGAAGGCCTGAGGTGGAGATATGTCAATATCCACTGCCTGGGTAACCGATCCTCCACACATAGCCACGTCCACCGTCTCCACGGGGTCCCAGGATCTCGCGCCCGCCGGCGGTGGACATGGACACTGCACCAGCCCACAAAAGCCTGCCACGCGCAAGAGTGACCCTTCGCCAGTGTGACCTCTGGTGCGAACCCACGGTGGTCCACCCATGGCACCAGCCTGCGCGCCTTGATTTGGCGTCCTCGCGGCTCGCCAGAGCTGTGCACCAGGGGGTCACTCTTGCCTATCCTGAGCTCCGACGTTGCGAATCACATGCAGCTGCAACGCTGCGACAAATAGCTACTGGAGGCCTAACCCCTGAGCTTTCTGTTGCATTTTGGGAGACGGGTCGCTCTGCGATGGTCCCGGGGCCCGCAACCTGGGTAGGACCTCTCCTGCGTGGGCGGGAGCGTTCCCAGAGCGTTCCAGAACGCTCTGAGAATGCCGCGGCGCCCGAGACATCTTCCAGACCCGCGGGATTCCAGAGACTCCCGATGTATCCTCGCCCAAGTTTGTCCTTGGCATGGCTTCGTTTCCTCCTGCGTGCAGCCTGAGAAGGGGCCAGGGGTCGACCTGAACGGTGTTAAGGCGATTTCGTGCACCGTGTCGTTTTGAGTTTTCTCTTTGCTCCGAAGATGTATCGGAGACAAGACGAGGGAACACGAACACAAAACGAAAACGAACCGAACACCACTGGCTTGGTCGAGCCTTCAGAAAGTCGTCGTTTCTTTATTCGTTGTTTTGCCGATCGGCGCGAGCCCTCGCACCCCCCCCGCTTGCCCCCCGTGGAGGAGATCCTGGCTGTCTCTGGGCGCCTGCTTTTCCGGCAGGCGGGGCCTTCCCCCGAGGACGCACGGCTCCGAACAGTGGCAGTCAGCAGATGGCCCGAGCCAGACCCCCCCCCCTGGCCCCCTCCCCTCCCAGTTTCCCCCTCCCCCCTCCCGCCCCGCCTCCTGCTCCGCTTCATTGCCTTTCTTCTGCTTCACAGTCGGGCGCCCCATTTCCCTGCTTCACAGTCGTGAAACGCTCCGTTTTCCGTCTCGCCTTTCGTCTTTCCCCGAAGAGTTGCCAATCGCGCGCTCTTCTGCCCACGCGTCCTTCTGGATGCCTCTGCTCAGTGGTGGTGGTGGCCGAAACGCCGCGCACTGGAAGCGCTCCCTTTGGCCGAGCCCTGCGCAGGGGCCTCCGAGCCGGAGCCGGCGCGGCGGCACCGCGTCTCGCGCCGCATCATCGTCCGCGCCCGCAACAAGCACCTGGCCGAGCGCCGGGCCCTGCGCGAGGGCGGCGCGCGGGCTGCCGCCGAGGGTGCGGACGGCGGCTCGGCTCGGGCGCCCTCCAAGGCCGGGCGGAGGAGGAGGAGGGGGGAGGAGGGGGGAGGAGGGGGGAGGGAGTAAAGATTTGGGTGTACAGACCTCGTTAGACTACTGTTAGTTGTGTTTCACGTAGCACGCTTAGAGCAAGCATGGATAAATGAGCAGTGAACGTATGTCACGTACTGGCTCAAGTCTGAGAAACCAACTTTGGTAGCGAGTAGACGTGCTTCGCTGTCTTGTTTGGCCTCCGCCGCCGCCATAGCGCCGCCGCCCCGCCAGGCCGAGACGTGCAGATTCATATACTACAACATTGCCATCGCGAGTTTCTCCAACCGCTTCTCCAGGGCCGTGCTTCAGAATTACTACGACGGCCCGAGGATCACAATTCGCGCGCAGTGCATCATCCTTGACTATATCTACGAGGTAATCCTATTTCTGTTATTCCTCCTACTTCTTGGAGCGATGGCACAAGACACACATACTGAGTCTGGCTTAGCCCTGGACACCTTCACGAAGAGTGTACCCCCAGGGTGGAGAGTTGGACTACCGAAATATCCTCTACGACGGTACACACAACTACTGCGCCTTTGGTGGCGCCAGACGGACATCTCCGAGAGCGCCACAGGACCGGCCATGGCCGGCAGGTTGAAGGGTGCAGCATTTCAGATCGCCAATAACCTGAAGGAGCAGCGCTTGGATCTAGCGACGGGCTTGGTTAGAGAGATGGTTGGTGATGAGCTGTTGGCCCAGCCGAGTCACGAGGCTTGGCAAAATGGTGCCGGACAGCAGTTCCCCGCCGAGCCTGCAGGAGCGACACTGCTTCTTCAGGCACTGCAGCGAGAGTTCGGCATGCAGGAACAGGAGATGAACATCCAATCTCTGGACGCGTTCTTCCTCCATCACCGCGGCAGCATGAGTTTGAGTGACTATCTCACCATGTGGCGTATGACGTACGATGAGGCGAATCAGAACAGCGGGCTTGAGATCAATAGTGTGGGAAAGTCATACCTCCTCTTGAGGACATCAGGTCTCAGTGACCGCCTGAAAGACGACATCAAGCTCAAGCTCGACGGCAATCTGGCTCGCTTCGAGGATCTAATGACAATATTGCAGCGGATGGCCCATGCAGAGCAGAACAGTGGATCGTCAATTCCCGAGATGATCAAGCAGCATTACGGACATCACGATGATGAATGGCAAGATGATAGTTGGAGCTGGAATGACGGATATGATGAATGGAGTTCCTGGTACGGCTATGAGGACGACTATGACTACAAATGGACAGATGATGATGAGCAGCAATCAGGAGATTGGTCTCAATACCTTCCCGCAGCAGATGACGGCACAGCTCAACATGATGAACTTTACGGTAAAGGACGTGGAAAAGGCAATCGTTTCCCCACGAGCGGGAAAGGTGAAGGATGCGCACGATGTGGGTCAAAGTTTCATCGCACATCGGATTGCCCGCTCAACGGATCAGGAACCTCCAGCTCTAAAGACAAGGGCTAGAGCAAGGGTAAGAGTTCCTCTTTCCCTTCCTCCTCTTCGAGCAAAGGTAAAAGCAAAGGACGTGGCAAAAGTCGGAAAGGTAAGAGTCGAAAGGGCAAGTCCCGATCAAAAGGTGGTTTCTACGGCGATGATGGCGAATGGTATGATGATTCTTCGGAGTTTGGCTACGGCAGCAACTACGATGATGGTTCAGCATACTTCACCCAGACGGGCAGCTATCACCAGTATTTCTCCTGGGCCGCTCCGAAGCCTGGAATCTTTGCAGCATCGCCAGCATCCGTGCCGACGACACCTCTTGATGTTCACTTCCTGACGCCAGGAGGAACGTCTGTAACGACGGGCTCTTTCGAGTTGCTTTCAGACTCTCTCCCGAAGACCCCAGCCATTCAGATGGAACTACCTCCCATGACGCCGTTGAAGTTTCCACAAGATGATGATGACGACGATGGTGATCCCCACCGTTTCCGGCCACCACCTGAAGCAGATGATGATGATGACAAAGAAGACCCTCAACGCTTCAGGCCTCCGCCGGAGGTCGAGGAGACCGTCAACAACAACACTCCCATGGACACTGGCATTGGCTATGGGCAGATCAAGCGCGGCATCTTCATGACAACGGACAGCCCCGCTCAAGACTTCAGCACGATGCACACTGTGCGTGGCAAGGAGGTAGCAGGTCTTATCGTGGATCCAGGAGCCGCAGCTGGCATCATGGGCACGGACGCGATGAAGGACTTTGTCAAGCAGCACTTGAAGAGCGCAGGCCTTCAGTACGAGCTCGAGCCCAGCACCAGCACCTTCTCAGGCATCGACGGCCAGTCAGACCCTGGACTGGCAGTTGCGACGATGCCGATCGGAGTTCCTGGATGCAGTGATATTACGTTCAAGGCAGATCTGATGGGCGGTACTGGCTCCAAGTGTCCTGGGTTACTTCCCAACTCATCCTTGTTGCAGTACTCGGCCGCCCTCTTCTGCGATATTCTTGACAATCATGATGGAGTTCTGGTCTTGAACGCTTCTGTCCCAAATGGCAAGAAGAAGGCATATTTTATCCGCGTCTTTCTCACGGACAGTGGTCACTACCTCTTACCCATCGGGAAGTTCGGTCAAGCCAATGTTGAAGAAGATATTCTAAAGGATGCAGTTCGGAACTATTGTCGCAACATCTTCGGTCATCGGATTACCGAAGACAAGGCATCCATTCAGCTCCATGGTCAGGCCTCGAGAACGGGAAGCAGTACTACGCCAACTCGCAGTTCCTCAGCACCCCCTAAGACAACAGAGATCAGCGTGCAATGGACACCGACATGCGATTGGCCATCATACAGCAAAATCACGAAGCACCATGACCTGGACTACTTCAAGGCTTGGAACATGACCGAAGGTTTTGTTTATGAAGGTGATCACTGGCCTCGACATATGGAAGAGCACTCAAAGCGACTAGCTCATGAATATCGTGCAATGCCAGAAGAATTCTACACTTTCACAGGCTGTGTGGTTATCACGCCGGACAACGTTCGTCAGTGGACGACTGTCATGAAGCGCTATCTTCACGGTGCCCCTCTTTGCCTGCAAGAAGGCATGAGTGGATCTGGCCGCCTCTCGGCAGCCGGAGCAGCTGTGGGTCTCAAGATCGCCTTCCCCGTGGACTACAGATATGGATGGGACTTGAAGCAGCCTGAGCATCGACGCCTACTGGATCAGTGCAAACAAGAACTGGGTGTCCGTGTTCACTACTGGTCCCCACGATGTGCTCCTTGGTCTGTTCAGTCAAATCGATCACCTCCAGATAAACGCGACAAAGCCCGACAAGCAGAAGGATCGACTTTGGACTGGGTAGCCCAGCACATGGACGACGACCAGGAGCGGGATGAGGCATCTATCGCCGAGAACCCTCGGTCTTCCTCGATATTCAGCAAGAGCCCGCTCAAGAAGGTTACCGAGTCACCATCGTTCACCCTGGGTGACAACAAAAGGTACCACACTGATCAATGTCAGTTTGGCGCGATCGACGAGACGGGCCTACCTACACAGAAGGCAACGGCTCTCTTGGCGACTGGCATTCAACTCCGACATTCAGTACGACAGTGCAAAGGCGAGAACAAGTGCAAGGACCACGGCATCTTGCAGGGCAGAGTTGGATCTATCCACCGCACAGCACTTTCGGCAGTATATCCTTGGTTGTTCTGTTTGGCCCTGCTCATGGACGTTGCTACGCACATCGGCAATGACACGGTGCAGCACAACATCGGCTCGAACGTTCAGCGTTTCGGCAGGAGCCAGTCTCACTTTGTTGGCTGGACATGTGAACGGTGCAAGCATGGAGCTAGGAAGGTCGGTCCCGATGGCCAACAGGTGGACACACTGCCGCATACAAAGGTCAAAGGCTGTCGCTTCGATCCTCTCCGAGCTGGTGGATCATCGACTGTCCCACCAGGAGGAGTTCCAGCACCAGAAGCAGCAGCACCAGCAGCAGCAGGACCAGCAGCAGCAGCACACCCAGCACCACCGGCAGGCCCAGTACTTGCTGAGCCGCCAGCTCCAGCGCCTGAACCAGACGGTGCAGGTGACGATCAACCAATACTACCAGAAGATGCAGATGATGATGCAGACACTGGGGATCCTCCTCCCGTACCTCCTCCTGTACCTCAAGGATCACGACCTCCTAGGAAAGCCTTAAAACGGAAAACAGATCCAAGGACACTGGAACCCTACGAAGACCCGAAGGTAGTTGAGCTGCCGGACTACATCGAACCAAGTTTCGACTTTGCCAAGATTCGTGGCAAGTTGAACGACCCTTCGATCAGCACCACCGAGAAGCAGAAGATCCTTCTTGGCCTCCATATCAAGTTCTGGCATGCTCCACGTGATGATATGATTCGGTTTCTTCGGCGAGGAGGTTTCGGCACGGAGGTTCTTACCCTGGTATTTCAGGTTATACCTAAGATGTGCAAGGATTGTATGGACTGGCGCCGACATCCGACACGACCTCAACATGGAGTTACGATGAGCCCTCACTTTAACTTCCGCGTGCAGACAGACCTTTGGTTTATCTGGGATATGACGTTCGTGGTCTTTGTTGATGAATGCATCAGCTACGCCCTCACGACAAGGCTCGATCACAAGACGGCAGATTGTTGGATGAACACCGCTTTCCACCTCTGGATAAAATATTTCGGACCTATGTGGTGGCTTGTTTCAGATCAAGAAGGAGCGGTCATCTCAGATCTGGTCTCCAAGGCGTGCGAGCATTTCTCGATCAACAGAGACCTTGGCGGAAGTCAGGGACATACTGCAGCGCCCAAGTGTGAGAGGCGAATCCAGATATTACGTATTGGCAGTATGAAGTTGTGGGCTACGGCACAAAAGCAAGGATGGAATGTCAGCAAAGAGCGTTGCGTCGAGGAATGTTGCATGACTACGAACCTGTCTCTTTCCTATGGCGGATCTACTCCCGCAGCGGCACTTACTGGAGTTCAACCACGAGAGCTCTATGATCATGAGAACCCAGGCCTCGT